AACGCAAAAAGAGAAATATTATTATTTTAATATTTTATTCCATTTTATTTTTTATTTTATATATGTATTAATTATTATTATATACATCAAAATCAGATTCTAGCTATTATCCCTAAGAATTTATTTAAATATAGATAAGTTTCTTGTTGTATCATTCAGTTTCATTGTGCCTTGTAATAAATCAGACATGACAATTGTGTAAACAATAGTTTGTTATAGTTAACTGAAACTAAAGCCATAAAACATGTTTCATAACTTGAAATAACGTTAACTAAAATGTACTGGAAATGAATTATTTCAGCTAGTTCCTGAAATAAAACTATACAGACATATTTTTAATAAACAAAAATTGATAAAAATTACAAAACCACACAACCAAATTTCTAAAATGAAAATGAAAACTGTAAAGTAAAAACTAATTCAAAATATTTATAAAAATTACTACAGTAAAACTGCTAAAACAACACTGTCTACAAAATGTATCTTTGAAAATATTATTATAAATAAGTATTCTTACTAAGCAATAGTATTCTTGTGGTTTATGCCAAGTACAATTTTCTTAAAAAGAAAAAAATCATTTCAGTTTTTTACCCCCTCATAAAAGTGCAAACATAATAAAATAGTAAATAAACTTGCTTCTTAAATGGTAGTTATGAATATATGGGTCAATTTGGGTCGTATTTTTAGATTTAGGTAGATTTTTTATTATAATTTTTTTAGACAAATTGTATTATGTGTGTGTGTATGTATGTATGTATGTATATATGTATATATATATATATATATATATATATATATATATATACATATGTATCTCTAAAAATTAGAATGTGGTGGAAAATTTGAACGTTTGAGGTCAGGATTTTTTTTTTTAAAGAAATTAATACTTTTATTCAGCAAGGATGCATTAAATTGATCAAAAGTAACAGTAAAGACATTAATAATATTACAGAAGATTTATGTTTCATATAAACACTGTTCTTTTTATACATTAAAGTATCCTAAAAAATATATCAGGGTTATAAAAAAAATATCAGGGTTTAAAAAAAAAAAAAGGCAGCACAACTGTTTTCAACATTAATATTAATAATAAATGTTTCTTGAGCAGCAAATCAGCATATTAGAGTGATTTCTGGAGGATCATGTGACACTGAAGACTGGAGTAATGATGCTGAAAATTCAGCTTTGATCACAGGAATAAAACACATTTTAAAATATATTAAAACGGGGAAAAAAAACTACTTTAAATTATAATAACATTTCACAGTATTGCTGTTTTTTTACTGTATTTTTGATCAAATAAATGCTTTGGTTCTTCAAACTTCAGCCATAGGAGTCGATGGAATCAATGTATTTACGAAAATAATAAATTCTTATCAGCTCAGGCATCACATACTAGTGAATCATCACACAAATTCTAGACACATTATGACATTGTTACTCATATTTCTGTTTTGCTAGCAGAAATGTTATGGCACTATATCTTAATTTGTCATACTTAAATACTTTCTTTTGTAGACTACTTGTATCTCTTTGATTTGATTCACTTATAATCAGTGAGGCTCACTGTTTAATCGTGTTAGGTTACGCAACCAGCCAACTGGCCTGTAAAACATTTTTGTAAAACAACAATTGGTATTCACATTTGATGCTTGCGAAAGTTCATTTTGGACCCTGAAGCCGGGTTGAGTGTGAAATCTGGTATAAACTCATATGAAGAGTCCATTTGAAATTATTTGATGTCCTTGACTCAATCAACCTCCATAACAACACAAATAAAGCACGTCAAAATGTACAAGAAGCACAGACATGTAATGAGCTCAGACCCGCTTCCCTAAATCAAGACTTAAAAATCAAATCACAGCCATTCGTGTGAGAAGTCAGGATTTAATTTTTTTATTTATTGGTGGAAAAAGAATAGAATTGCAAAATGTAAATTCACAATTCTAAAAAAAAAACCCACTATGAATTGCAAGGTATAAACACCTTTATTTATTTATTTTTTTAATTCTGTGCCAGAAAAAAAGCTTCCATAGCTTTAATTTTATAATCAGTGAAGGGTTTCAGTCATTCATTATATCAAGTATATTTAACTACTATGTATTTAAATTTAATCTTGTGATACAATGCATTTATTTTGTGCATACATGTTTTCACATTGCACTTATATTTAAAAAATGCCTGCATGTAATTACATCTGTAATTAATTTCTGTAATGACACCTATAATTACAAAGTGTTTTGCTTAACAACATGAACACAATAAATATATTTATGCCAAACAATTATTTTATTTATTTATTTTTGTACATAGTAGTTAAAGACACCTAATAGAAAGTGGGATGTAATATTTTCTTACTTTTAAATGATTACATTTTAATCTAATTGCTTATGGATAAATCTTATGTAAAATTTGAAGGACAAAAAAAAAAGACTAAGTTTCAGCCAATAGTAAATAAACATTTAAATCTAGACAAATAAGCTCAAATTTACATTTGATTTCCCATGTTTTTTTGGTCACTGCATAATTCCTACAGTTTCTTTTGTGTTAATTCATAGTTTTAATAACTATTATTATGTTCACATTTTAATAACAGAAGAAAAAGTGTGTCAGAACTTCTCACTGATAGTGTAATCAATCGTCCACATACACTGAATATAGATGTGAACATTAAAACACTGACTAGTTCTCTTTGAGTCTCACACTTCTGCATGTATAACGTCTGTAAATACTGTGAAAAGAAAACGTTCTTCTCATTTCTCGTGCAATCAGCTAGCTCATCTGAGTCTTATTTGTATATGATCATAGGACTATGACAAGGACATGTCAGCTTTTTTCTTTTGTGTTGCGTTCAGGTTTCTCTGGACTTTCAGCTCAGGGTTGAGTCATTTTCATAAAGCAGCCAGAAATCGAAATCAAAATACAACATTAATGCTTTGTTGTGATGCTGCTGTCAATGTTGTGGTTCTCATTGTAATAAAAACATGGCATATGTGGAAAATGTAGATAATAGATAGTCATGCTTTGTGCTTTAATGTGTGTTATCATGACCAATGAGAGCAGAGAAGCAGTGGCCACCTTCAATCAATCTGCTGGATGAAGCCAGTGCTTTAGTGACAGATTGACTATATATATATATATATAGATAGATAGATAGATAGATAGATAGATAGATAGATAGATAGATAGATAGATAGATAATCTTCATTCGCTGTATGGCAGGCTGATTGAATTTGCCCATTAACCTGAACATCTATATCATAGTGTGGCAAAATATAGATGTCCAAACTCATTTGAATTGGCCAGAGGGTGCACATATTTCATATAGCATTCAGAAATGTCATGCACTGGAATTTGTTGTTTATTGTTTTTGTAGCCTTGCTATTCTGTTGCATGATGGGACACAAAGACTTCAACTAAATTCTTTGTTTTGTCTCATATGTTTGGTAGAACTGTGATTTTATTTGCGTACAAAGCAAGCTGAATATTGATAGAAATGGAAATGTTTTTATCCCAGCATTTGTTGACTGAAAAACACAGTTTCCATGTTTTCAGATGTTCGTTATTATGTAATATAATAGTTTGTTGAATTGCAAAACCTTTTTGTTACATGAAATTCATTTTTACAAAACCTGTCAAGAACGTCATATCAGCGTCAGAATTTACCACAAAATCAAATGAATGTTTTGCAAAATATTAATATGAATTATTAGTATTAAGAAAATGATGCCTATATTACATATTGTGAAAAGAAAAATCACCTCAGTGTTTCTGATTAGAAAAACGAAATATTGTTTGTGGACAGCATGATTTTGATTGCTCTCATTACAGTAATGTCAATATAATGAGAATAATCATTGAGAATAATGAGAATTACAAACCAATGAAAACATCCGGATGCATTACAGTAATGAGGATTTGGGAGGAAAATGTCCTTAATTATCATGAGAATAACGTCACAATGCAAAAAAATTCTTAATGGGCCAATAAATAATGTATAATATATTGTACTTTTTTTTCTTCTTCTTTTTAATGTGTTTTCAGGATGAAATATGACCTGGAAAAGTGAAATTAAACCCTTTGGATGACAGTATAGAGTTGTTGTATATGCTGTGATTAAAATCAATCGTCTATTGAGGAAAAAACAAAAAGAAGAAAAAAAGCAACGTTCACCAATTCTTGTCATTTACTTTGAGATCTTGATCAGCGTTTTGTGTTAAACATACCCAGATGATTCTTACATAACATTTCTAAGCACGAAAACCCATTGCCCTTTAAAAACTGATAATTATATAGTAAAAAAGAAAATATGCAAATTAACTGATCATCTGGAAAATGCTTGTACATGTGTTTTTTTTTTCATCTTTAGAGGTTTGAGATCTTTTTGAGTGGTGATTTCACAGCGTATGTGAAATGTGTTTTGTTTGCATGTTTAGCAGCATTATAAATGTTTCAGTTTAAAGCAGTCTGTCATTTAATTTCAAAATAAAACTCTGGGAGTATCAAAAAAAATAAATAAAAAATCAGTTCCCAGATTCACTGGGAATCGCCTTATTAAATTTGTAAAGTGATTTTTGATTGTTTATATACTGCCACAATAAAACTGGAGTGAAAACATTGCAATCTTTATTTTTGCTTATTAAGACTTAAATGTTGCATTTAAGAATGTTGCTTTAATTTTTCTGTTCGATGGCAACAGTGAAATAAGCTTGAAATGAAAACAAAGAAAAAAAGAATTACAAATAAGACATTAGAATTCAGATGTTACTGACATTGTCATTCATATAAGTATGAATTGATTTAACAAATGTTTTCCGCAAGAAAATGTTTTTTAAAAAGTGTGCAGTTTATTTCAGAATATAACATTACATTATGTAGTGAGCATTAAAAGCCAACTGTGCTGTTGTGAAATGCATAAAGCAATGATAATATCCACAAAGGCTTGTCAATCTGTTTTAAAACGTGTCATGACGTTTTCAGCACTGAGTAGAAATATGTACTTTATCATTTACAGCTACAAGCCAAAAATAAATTATTTGGATCAAGCAGCAACTTCCAATTTTCATTCAACAAATTCTGTCATTTGATTCTTCCAAAGATGCATTATTGCAATCAACTCTCTCACACACACACACTTTTCAATGACCCTGCAACATATTACAGAACTATTATTCCTTTTCACTAAGCTGAAGGAAGTGTTCATGTAATAAATAAAGGCAAGGTACAGAATACTGAGTGTCTGTTCACTCCATAAGCTACTAATAATCATCTGTAATATATAATATATAGAAGCTGTGAAATTCAGGGCTGTTAAAGGCAACGCATGACACACAGTGATGTGCTTCAACAAGTGACTTGTCATTTCAAAAAAATCTGAGACAGTCTTGAGGACAAAACTTAGCACAGTTGAATTTCTTAAACAACTCAGACTTTCACTAATTGGTATATCTCATCTAATATGTCTTGCATAAATAGTTGAATGGTTAAATATTTGATTGGCTGTGACGTCAACACACATCAGCCCATGCAGCAATTTGGGTTGGACATCTTCTTATGATTTCCAGACAGTTTGGCCACTGATACAGGCTCCTTGTACTCATCAGCATGCTTCATCACCTCTCTGAAGTGAAGGATAGAGAAATCATTCAACATGTAATGTTAAAATATCCATATAATCAGAGTGCAATTTGTAAAAAAAAAAAACAAAAAAAAAAACTGAGGGGAATATTTGACCAAGAAGATCACCACAAATTCAGCAAAAAACTAATACAGAACATAATTTAGCAAATAATAATAAATAATACAACAAATTTGTATTACCCATGCATTATACTCAGGGTGTGATTTGCCCATCAGTAGTGAATTTGGTAACAGTACAGTTGAGCATTTGCACTTCCATATATATATATATATATATATATATAACATCATGCTAGCAACAGCCTAGCAACCTAGCAATGTTTTATACCTTATTTTATACTTATATATATATATATATACACACACAGTATATATATTTGAATTATACTGTATATAAGTTCAAGGAAATCCACTATTAAAACCAAGTTTACATTTATAAGCTCATAAGCTCAATAAATCTCAATATTGTCTCAAAGATAATATTGATAACTTGATAAATTGATAAAGATAACTGTGTTAATGATTTTTGCCATAACTGAACAGTCCTGGGTAAACGCACAATTTAAGTTTTGTGATGCAAATTGAAGACTGAATCTTGCTGCATAACATACCACAACAAGGCTTGACTGTCAGAGGAACATGTTTTGATTCACTTCACTTCATCAAAGCATTAGCCTCAGATTATGAAACTCAATAAAACCCAATCTGCTGCCCTCTTGTGCTTTGTGTTAATATTACAAACAATACTGTAGCAGTTAGTTCATCTGAAAGCTCTTTATGAGAGAATCTCACAAAACCTATTAAGAATATGTGTCCAAAATAACATTTTGATATTTTTCTTGTATTATATTATATAATGCATCACTGCATTATGAATAATTGTCAAGAAAATAGAAAAAATGCTTACCGGGCTAAATGAAGAACAGCCTCAATGATGTTGGATCCATCCTTTGCACTCGTCTCACAGAATAAGGCACTGTATGTCTGAACACAGAAAGCAGCCACAGTTGAACACTTATACTAATAAAAAAAAAAACTCACTTTCTAACTAACCTAGACTGCTTTAGGTCATATTCATTCATGTGCAGGTGGCAATGTTTTCACCCACATGTTGTTTGGAACTCCTGAATTTTGAATAAAGTCAGGCCAGTATTTGAGAAATATCCAAAAAGCCCAGTCTTCTTAAGCCTATGATAGTTTTTTGTGACAAAACAGACTTCAGGTGATTTGGAATATAGATCATTAGTCATAGAGACTACTTTTGTCATGGTGCTTTCATGGTGTTTTAAGGCCTTTTTGATGCTTAAACTCTTAGTCTCTGTTCAAGGTAAACCGCAGTTTGCATGAGGGTGAGTAAATTATGACCATGTAAATTTTTTGGGTAAACAACCCCTGCAGAAAAACAGAGAGCAATGGTAAACCACAGTGAATAACGGCCAGGCACTAACCATGGCCAGTTTCTCTCCGTAGCTGGTTGGAATACAGGTGACTCCATCCAGAAGTGCTTCCTTCCTCAGGTCGGTCTTATTCCCCACGAGCATGATGGGAATGTCATCCTGAGACACATCCTGCACCAGAAAAGAATCTCAGTAAGAATATCAGTGTCGTATTCAAACTGAACCAGCAACATCCTACTTTTCCCATTGTAGTGCTTATTTAAAGGTGCAGTATGTAATATTGACAGCTAGTGGTTCAAATGGGTATTGCAGTCAAAATACTGGAGAGAGTCGTTTCTCCGGCCCCCTCCTCCTCAGACTCAACGCTCACGTGGGTTGCCAGATTGAGGACACGCAACAGGAACGAGCACAATTGACAATGGAAGGCAACACACCTTACACTGTAAGTTGATTTATTCACTTTTAAGAAGCCTCTGGTTGTAAATGGTTTCCATGGCTGCAATACCCTGTGTTTTCTGCCAAATGGCAACCCAGGGTGTCGAAATGGGTAAATTGGCAGTGGGAGGAGTCACACAGTCCAAAACAAAAACAGACATTCTGACACGGAACGCACATTTCAAAGTGGAATAACTGGCTGTAGCTTTGTTTTTCGGAGAAACAAGTATGTGAACTTAGCAGGTTTCCTGAATATCTGCAAACATATTACGGTAGGTATTTAATGCTTTAGTAGAGTCAAAAAATACATACAGCACCTTTAATATGGCATATCATGGAAAACCTCACAGTGCATTTAACTCCTACATCAAGAAAACTCGATGTAGACATGTTTACAAGATTCCTCTCCACTTCACCTAGATCATTTATGGAAACAAAGTTAAACAATGCTTTAATCAGACACTAACACATTAGCATAGGACTGTTCAGCAAATAGACCTGTCCTGATGAGCGACAGTCTTAAGGGTGAAGTAGCACCAGCTACAAATGACCTGTCAAGTCTACAAAACTAAATTATGACTGTTTATGTGGATGAAATACCTCAATGATGTCGACCCATTCACGCACATTCAGAAAGCTCTTCTCACACGTAACGTCATACAGTAGGAGAACTCCATTGGCCCTCCTGAAGTAAGACTTTGCAATGCTCCGAAACCTGTAAAAGTGACACCAGAGTATTCAACTTTTAGAGCAAAGTACACTTCGGTTTTTATGCGTACACTAGGGTATTTGCTTCATTTGTATGCTCAACTTGCATATGCGCCTTCAGTTTTTTGTTGTTGCAATTTTTATTTTGTTCACAAGGTGGCAATTCTGGTTCGGAATGTTGTTTTAAAGGGGTCATATGATGTGATTTCAATTTTTCGTTTCTCTTTGGAGTGTTACAAGCTCTTGGTGCATAAAGAAGATCTGTAAAGTTACAAAGACTAAAGTCTCAAATCCAAAGAGATATTCTTTATAAAATTTAAGAGTCAACAACGCCTACCTAAAACGCCTCGTTCTAACACGCACCCACATGTCTACATCACGATGTGGGAAGATTTGCATAACGCCGCCCAAATGTTCACGCAAAGAAAGAAGGCGTAACTTTTATTCTCACTGTAGTATCGTTGTTGCCGCCGCTGCCATGTCGTGAAGGCGCTATGCGTTTCGTTGTGAAAGCGAAACTACTTTGATTGGTCTTCCAAAAGAGGACGATATCCGCTTCGTCATGCCTAGAGCTGATCCATGCTGGTTGCTGAGGAAATACATCAACTTCGTGCTGTGGATTGCTGGATCGGCTTTCGCCGTGGACGAAGCGGAGTCCAGCCCAGGGTCGCCACAAGCCCATCCGCCTCCGCTCACTTTAGGCCACCGGCCGCCACCGCTCTAGCCGCCGGCCTCCGCTCACTCTAGCCCGCCGTGTGTGAAAGTGAAACTACTTTGTTTGGCCTTCCAAAAGAGGACACGACTAGAAATCAGGTTAAGTTGTATTTACAACACTGTTCCAGAACACTTCAACCCAAATATTCCGATGTGTCCAGCACATTTTATGGAGGACTGTTTCTTGATCCTGGGAGAGTAGACTACAATGCCGGCTGTTCTGACTAACAGAATGTACATTTTTTATATTTAAAGAATGACGATGAGCTTTGTAAAAATCTACGCGTTTCAGAAAGGCGGGGCATAGAGGAGAAACAATAATGTACAGTATGTTGAAAATAATGTGTTTTTTAAACATTAAACCACATAAACACATTTCATTACACCAAATACACAAAATAATTTTCTTATTAGCAACATCGTATGACCCCTTTAACAGAGGAGGTGGAGCAAAAACAAAACAGCTTGAGATGCCAACAACAACAGATGACCACATTGATTAGCACTTGTGTAGATATTAAGAGATACATAGTACAAAGACATTTTATCGCTCATAACTAGAGGTTGACCGATGTATCGGTTTTGCCAATTAATCGGCACCGATAGTTTTTTGCTGGAACTATCGTTATAGGCAAAAATCCATGACGATAGTTTTCCGGGTTGCGTCCGTTGCTGGAACGGCTGAGAAGGGTCTGCTGTCATTATACAGTACAAGAGCGGCCTCTAGTGGTTGAAATCACTGACAGCACGTGCTATTTGTTTAGACACGTGATACTGCACGCTGAAAAGAGCGGGAATCTTCAGACACGGATTTAAATGCAGCCGACAGAAAATCCTGCCACGCCACAGAGCGCCATTCACATAGTTTTCCATTAAATTACATTATATTTGTCCCGAATTGTTGTTAATGCTTCATTTATAGAGCTATAATATAGATTGCGCTTTCTCTTTCCGTTTGCTCGATTTTTTAAACACCGAACTTCAAACTCATATATGCCTCATTGTTCGTTCATTCTTGAAGTAAACTTGTGTCCGTTTGGTGATTAAATAAACAGTTTTAGACCGCTGCTCGAATTGAACGGGACGCGTCCGGAGTGTGTGTGATACCTGCGAGTTCTCCTAGACTCAGCGCTGTGCTTTTATTTTGATTAGATAATCATCAAGTGTTCAAGAATAGAAGAAGTTAAAGTGTGAGAGTATACATACAATATCCATATGTATATAATTTTAATGCTATGGCCTTTGTGTATATATTTAAAGATGTGCATCTTTAAGCATGACTGTTGAAATCATACAATGTGACATTTGTAACATTAAGATTAATGAAAGCTGTGTAATGAAAGTATTGTTCCTTGTTAGAGTGTTAATTTCAAAATTTTTATTATTACTACTACTACTACTAGTATGGTTCAGTACTGTTTTTTTTAATAAAGCATTATTTTAGTTTTTGTTCAGTATCCATTTTAAAAACTATCGGTTAATTAATTGGTATCGGCCAGTGTGGTCCAACCTAGCTATCGGTATCGGCAAAATCCACTATCGCGACCTCTACTCATAACTTCAGGAGAGAAAAAGTGCAGACACTGGACAAGGAAACATTGGTGCACGTGTCAAGTGACTGTGTTCACACATGCTATCAAACGGAGTACACTTGTGCATTCATCTGTATGCATATTCTAAGCTTTCGCATCAAAACCGAACTTTAGCTTTCTCGTTGACAACTGTGCCCCTAGAGGTTCATGATGGAACTTCGGGGGGGTTGTGATCATAACATACATTCACCAGTCACTTTATTAGGTGCCTGTTAACACAAATATCTAATCAGCCGATCACATGGCAGCAACTGAATGTGTTTAGACATGTAGACATGGACAAGATGATCTGCTGAAAGTCAAATGAAGAACCAGAATGGGTAAGAAAGGTAATTTAAGTGACTTTGAACATGGTTGTTGGTGCCAGATGGGCTGGTCTGAGTATTTCAGAAATGGCTGATCTACTGTGATTTTCACGCACAACTATGTCTAGGGTTTACAGAGAATGGACTGAAAAAGAGAAAATACCCATTGAGTGGCAGTTCTGCGTGCAAAAAAAAATGTTGATGCCAGAATTCAGAAAAGAATGGCCAGACTGGTTTGAGCAACAGTAACTATATAACTAAATAACCATTTGTTAAAACTGAGGTTTGCAGAAGAGCATCTCTGAATGCAAAGCACGTCAAACCTTGAAGCAGATGGGCTACAGTAGCAGAAGACACACCGGGTAGCATAAACATAGCTATGTCACGAAGCTCAGATCATCTAAAACTGGTTTCTTGAACATGACATTAAGTTCATGATCCACACTCATCATAAATCTATCCAGCAGAGCACATTTAGGATGTATTGGTATGGAAGATTTGCATCATGGACGTGCAGCTGACAAATCTGCAGCAAATACGTAATGCTGTCATGTCAATATTCATGTTATGTCATGTTAATATGTTTCCAGTACATTGTTGCATCTATGGCATGAAGAATTGACTCTTCGCAGCGAGTTTGATTGACAGGCGATCTGACCAATCATAATGCCAAATCTGCCATTTTGTCCGACAAACAAACCAGACATGAGTAGATTAACATCACTGGACTTGAACTTGAAAATTGGTGTATATTGACGTCTTTCCATGGTTGAAACAAGGTACCTTCTGATGTTCACTCATGTTTATTTCATGCTATGACTAGTAAAGAGGAAGATATGATCGGTTCAGCATGAGGCGCTACAGCGATCTGTCAAGACACATTAAAGAGTCACAAAACACTATTTATTGAATATTTATCATCAACTGAAAATGTTTCCCAGTTTATTGATTATCACCTGAAGAAAACTTCTCTTTCATTAAAGATAAAACATATTTTTGGTTAAAACACAATCAATACAAACTGAAGAAAGGAACTAGATGGTAACACTAGACGTCTCCTCTTTATACCTATACATATATCCCTCATAAGGAGGGTTTGGAAGTTATCACTTTTTTCATAAATTCTGATAAACCTGTCAAAATTATCACTGAGATGATTATGTTTGTTTTGACAAAGAATTACTTTATGTTTGATAATTACCTTTACTTACAGACACATGGAACTGCCATGGGTACTCCATTAGCTTATTAAATCATTAATTACCTGTTCCACATTAAATGTGATTTACAAGTTAAAAGGTCCGTGTCCACTTATTTACATCGGAAAAACTAGTAAATCATTAAATTCATATTAGTGAACATAAATCTGCAATCAGGAGATGTGATGTGAATTCACATATTGCAAGACATTTTCATGGCTATAATCATGATATTAAGGATTTCATTTGTACAGGTATCGAAAAAGTAATAATATCTAGAAGTTGTTGTAACAGAGGAAAAAAATGTTACAACGAGAAGCTTACTGGATGTATCGATTAAAAAGCATGTTTCCCTTGGGTCTTAATAAAGATTTTGATCTTTCTTGTTTTCTTTAAGTAGAATTGAGTAATAGTGAGCAACTTATGAATGGCTTTCACATTAGTGTTTTCTGTAAATTTGTTTGGTGAATTTTTTATTTATTTGTGATGTATATTTTGTGCTTGTACTAACGTTTTGATGTGTTGATTGCTTTGTAATTATTCCTTTGAAGTTCGTCTTTAGTTTACTTGATCGATTGGTCAATTATCGGATGACGTATGAGGTCGGCTTTCCGCATGCGCCTCTCAGAAGTGACGCACGCGGAAGCGCAGGTAAGAGATCAAAACAAAGGTCTCTTAGAAATACAAAATGAGGATTTGTAAAGTAGTATGTCGGAGGATTTCGATATAAGCCAAGAGGAGACTGGTTTTCCTTTGCTAAAGTAAGGAAACTTTGCTTCCTTTGCTCCTGTTAACAAACGTTGGTTTTCACAAGACTCACCGACGCATGCGCAGCGCTGACCTCATACGTCATCTGCCCGGAGCTGCTTCTGTGTACAACTGTTGGCGCAAGCTACATTAAAGTGATTATTACGTTTTGAATATGGATATTTTTCTTACAAAAACGCATCGATTTGCTACAGGAGGCCTTTGTTCACCCCCCGGAGCCTTGTGAGATGCTATTTTAATGGATGGGGGCTTTTTATTTAACTTATTTTGGACTGATGCATGCAACACCCGCTGAGTGGCATTAAACAGCTTGAAAGATCAAAGACAATTTTTAATATAACTCCGACTGGATTCGTCTGAAAGAAGAAAGTCATATACACCTAGGATGACTTGAGGGTGAGTAATTTATGGGCTAATTTCTAATTTTTGGGGGAACTAACCCTTTAAGTTTGTGATAAGTAGCACCTGTGACTCTCTACCTGGTGATCATTGGACTTCACTTTTGTTTTTTTAATTCTTGAGGGAAGTGTTATTGTATGATTCACTGAAGAAGGCTTTTTGCTGAAACGTCTGATTGTTGATTGCTCTGTTGCAAAATAAAAATAAACTATAATTTATTAAGAAGATACAGCGAGTGCAGATCCTTTATCTCATAGTGTTGTTCAAATTTCTTAAAATTAAAAAATTTGAAAGCTGAGACTGTGTTTCATACCAAAAGTAACCTGCTCAGTCTTGCCTGTTTGCGCGTTGTGAGTTTCCTCTTTGCTCCGCAATGTATTTTTCACTGTGTGAGAACATCATGTGTGGCGTGAGAGCGCCATGGCTTGTCGGACAAAGCAACAGTAACGAAGGGGGGCAGGTCTTTGCAAAGGGTCAATTAAGGCAGTTCTGAAGGTAAAAGGGGTCCAACCCAGTACTAGCAAGGTACTTACCTAAGAATGTGTCTGAGTGTACATTACTGGTTTTAATGTAAATTCAGATAATAGATCTCAATCAGGTTAGATGCCACACTGAATTTAACGTGAATGAAAACAAGGCTGTGAGGGATAGACTTACAGTCTTTACAATGGCACGCACTGTATAAAGGTCCTAAATCATGGAATTTTATTTTGGAAACTCATAACGTTTAAGTTTTATGGAGTTGTTGTCACTGAAAGATTATTATTTTCCAGAAAGTTGTTTATGAACAATTGGTATGCATTTCTTTCCCTCACAGCTTTGTTTTCATTTCTGTCAAAAAGTAAACATGGCGCTACCCTGCCTAAGGTCTATAGAAGTTCAACTAACAAGTTTAACAAATAGGTTTTGTACTATAGAGCAGATGAAGAATATCTGGGGTCTAGAAGAACAGCTCAATTATAGAGTTTAAAGCTCATGTCGACCATCATTGAATGTCTATCAGCTCAGTTTTTGCAGTGTTTTCCACACCGTCGGCACTAGTCAGATCCTTTATCTGCATGGCCAGACATGGATGTTTTGAATGAAGAAAATGAAGAGCAACTGTTCAACATAATTCAAATTCAACATGGTAAGCAAGTGCTGCTTTGTTTACAGTGTGTTTTCGGTTTCCCTTTTTGAATCATAAATACAGACTACTGCCACCTGCTGGTCTGGAGAGGTAATTCCTCTCATGCAGGCACAGAACGTACTAGTGATGGGAAGTTCGGATCATTTTACATTCATTCAGCAAAATGAACGAATCTTTTTTCTAGTCATTTCATTCATTTTAACAAAATATAATTAAAATGTTACGTGTTACTTCCCTAATATGTCTACTACTTACGCAAACGTTGATCACACTACAAACAATACAAAACTGCTATAAGAAACAGAAAAGATTAATTAATTGTTTACCCGAGTCTTCAGTCTATGATTAGCTCACCACCTCTTATCTGACAAGTCTTCGGGTTTGGGCTTATGGGGCTGTCACGTGATGAACGATCGACTCGAAAAACCCGAAGACTCGAGATGAACTAATCAATTCTCTTTCCGGCTCAGACTGCATTGGTTAAAGCTTATGGGGCTGTCACGTGATGAACGAACGACTCGGAAAAAC